TCCCGCAAGGCACATGGCAAATTCTAACTGAAGTAGTTGGAAATAGATGTGAGTAGTGTTCCATGTGAATTCAGAGTAGTTGCTTCACAAGTAACTACTTAGGACTTGATACTACTTAAAATGCTCTTGGTGTTTTCCTGTTAGGTATGAATATTCTAAGTGCTTTACTGGTTTAATCATAGCTCACTATTGAAATATATATATTATACTTGTAGATAAGTATAAATATAATTATTTATATATATACATATGTGTGTGTGTATGTGTATAAAACTGATGGTTAAGGATAAAGATACCACAGAAATTATTTATCTGATCAGGAAATTGAGGATTTCTGCTGCTTTTATAAATGTAGACTTAAAAAATATTTTCATATATTATATAATAATCATATATGTTGTATATATTTACATATGTATACATGTATATATAATTATATATTTGTTATACATATATACATATATATGATTCCCGGTTCTAAAGCGTACATGGTTTTGAATATTTAACAGCTGCAACCCTTGATTATTTTGAACTTCAGTTTTGTCATTTGGAGAAATGAAAGATTAAGTAGGTTAAGCTGTCAGGCTGTCAGACAGGGCATCTGTGACTGTTTGATAAACCCTGAATGCCTGAATGGATCAAGTGCAGAAGTTCAAGGTTAAAAGTGTTATATTACAGAAAGAACACTGTCCCACTCTGAAGGAGTATTTCAAAATATTGATTTACAAAGTATCCTCTTTGTGAAGACTCTGTTTCGGCAGGAGTGAAAATAAACAAAGTGAACAATATGAACATGCTTTTAAAATTATCTTGATTGACTGCTTTCAGAGAGCCCCAATTTGTGTCTGGAGGAATCTGAACAGCTCCTTTGCAATCTATTAGGTTCATTAAAAAATACATGCCTCACTTAGTGAGCGCCAATTGGCCATGCATTGGGCTGGGCACTGTATATATAATATCTCTAATAAGATAGGCTTCAAGTGGCAACTGGCTTAGAATTCCTTTTTTTTCTGTATGAATTATTAAAATGAACATTTCCAAATTTATATTTTAATTGATTTTCAGAAATGCAAACTTTTGAAGTGAATGTATCTTACTCTGTCACATAATCTTTATTAACAAATACTCTATTAACAAGTTACTCCTGTATTTTTTCAAATACATGTTTGTACTTTTGTGAATATACAGCTGTCTTATGAATACACCAAGGTAATATTTAATGTTTGCTCTATAGTTCAATTCTAAATTCTAAATATAACCTAGCAGAAATAAACATAAAAAAGGGACAGAGAAAGTTTGTGAGCTTTAATGATTATCTTATTTACTGTATTGACCTGAATTATTCAATACCTTAGTGTCTAACATTCTATACTCAATGAATGTTTTTATTTGCTGACTTTCATGGTATATTAGAAATTTGGCATATAGAGAGATAGTAACTGCTCTGAAATCAGAATAATTTAATTGTTAAAACTGCATAGGCTATGAAAGAGGTGGTACTAAACTTAGGAAGGCAGGGTTTCAAACATAAAAGGTATGAGCTTATATTTTTTTTTCAGTCTCCACTCATGGAGGCTTCAAAATGCTTTCCTCAAATTAAGAATACCAATACTTACAGAAGTGTGACATTCCAATGAATGAAGTGACAGTGTTGGTAAACAATAACAACAAAGCTACTCGTTTTAACATATAGTAATGCCTACAAATTCATTGTGTATTTTGATGTTTATCATTGTTAAGGTCATTTTATAATAAAGAAAATAATAATAAACATATATTTGTATCCTAAATGCAGTAGTTTCTGTTCAAAAATGAAGAAATGAAATAATTGTTTTCTCAAGGAGAATATTTTAATCTGCTTTACAAATGAAATATGTTTCATTTGATTATTTTGATCTTGGGCTCTTTGCAAATAATATTCTTGCCGCTGAGCATGTACAGATTGGTGCAATGAAATATTTCAGGGCATACCCAAATTTTAGAAGTAGAAATGGTAGTCACGGATAATTTTTAAGAGGGACCTTCAGTTTTATACCTCAATAGAAGCATTATGGATTTTGTGGCAAGTATCTATTTTAGAATAAAGCAATTCAACATTTCACTTAGACTCATAATAGTTATACCCTGCCGTCCAAGAACTGCAAGTGGACTCAGACTTTATTGGAGACCATCTTCTATGAGGAGTGAGGCAGACAGGACTGGGCAGAGGGAAAAGTTGAACTGTGAGGCAGTCACAACAGAGGCCTCAGTCTTTCCTAGATCTTATGAGGAGGTCTAGAGCACAAATACAGGTTCAGAGTCATCCTGCCTTGAGGCATAAAGAAGAAGTCATGACACCCCTGTATCAATCAGTCATTGCACTCTGGAAGACTTTGACCGGGGGTGAGGCAGCACCCTCTGGCCCAAGGCAATGTATGTGTAGATTCTCAGTGTGAGTTATCAGCTACCAGCTCTTCGCAGCTCTCCCAGGAGCTGGGGAAGGGGGTGGTGGAAGCACGCTGCAGCATCTACTACAGCTGAATTTGCATAGCCAGTAGCCAAAAATTGTGTAGTCACACATGTGCTCTGCTCTCCAACCATCTTTTAGGTTTATCTCTTCAAACAGGTAAGAAGAGATGGGTTCAAATGGTTTGCCTAGGTTCCCCAAATTTTGACTCTTCCTTGATATTTTTGCATCCCTTACTAAGGAAAACCCAGTGGCAACATTGAGAGAAGGTCTTGAGCTGCATGTGTAAGTTAAATGAAATACATATCTCAGAGAAAGAGAGGTGGGACTTTATCAAGCAGTCAGTCAACTTTGTGCCTCTTGTGTTGGATAAAATAAATAAGCTTAAACTATCTGTTTAACATTTTTGGTCATCCTGAACCAGAGGGGGACTTATAAATGAAATAATTATAGAATATGTTCCTGCTGAATTGCATTCTTTTAATTACAAGAATGGAACGTTTCAATGGAAGCTACATTAACAACCAAAGAGTTTTCCAACTTATTTTTTCTTCATAATATTATGTTAACCCTTACTTGATTTTTGATATTTTAGACTCAAACAAGGTAATGGATATATATGAACACCTTTTGCAAAGCATGATGTGTGACACAGATAAAAATAATATAAAATTATTTATTAAAGCTCACAATTAATTGTGCTCACGTTAAACCATATCATTGATATCCACCCAGACATACTTTACTTTGAGTTTTCTAAAGACATACTGACCAAAAATTTATTTTGGTTCTTTAACTTTTTATCAAAGGAAATTTTTAGTAATACTAAACTCAAGACAAAACTATCACCAAAGTTTTATGGATGCTTTCTCTAAGAAAGTTTAGACACCCACACTCAATATACCAACAGGTAGACAATAAAGTACATTTATGGTGTGCTCTGGTGAATGTAGACTTGTTATTTTTTTGCTTTTATCTATGTTTGCTTTAACATCTGTCCTCTATTTTCTGACTTGTACTACTTTTTATTTTAATTGGTTTGCTGATTCATACTTGTTGCTGTTGGACTTGCTGTTGTTAAGGAATATTTTAAAAGGGAAGTGAAAAGAGTGGGAAAAATACTGGTTTTGTTAATTTGGCTCCAGCTGATTTTATACCTGGAAATAGGAGAGTTAATGGTTTTTTTTGTATGGTTAATTACATCTTGTTCTGACGGCTTCTGTTGTAGGCATTAAGTCACTCACCTTGTTAAGGGATCTCCTGGTCTAGTAGGGTTAGATTTGCCATTGGGGAATCATTTTTAGAATGTTTACCTTGTGTTCAGATAACTGACTGAGGGCAGGATGATGGGTGTGTCCAGTTGACCAGAGAAGTGATTGTGAGATTTTTAAAGATTATTCCTATGGGTCTCACTCTACTTTGTTTTGAAAACAAAATGGCAGGCAAGTGAGTGGCACAGACATGAGCCTCTCTTCTCTCTTCTGCCTCTTAGAGTTCTTTTCCATGAGAAAGGAAAAATCCCACTGTGTTTTTTTTCCTAATGCTTCTTGGATTTTCACCAGCAGGTTTTTACAGTCTGTTGCTTGCCTCTCAGATTAGAAGAATGCTGGCATATTTTAACGGTTTCCTAGGATTCAAACAGCCTTTAATTAAGAGCAAATTGATGTTTTGGAATGTTACCAAAATATGGGAGACTGAACACTGAGATGGGCTTCTTTCCTTCCAGCTTCTGAGTGCATGGAGCCCTATAATGGGGAGTGGGGGAGAAGAGTGGGGGTGCTCCGTTGCAAACAGCTGGTTGCCTACTAGTATGCAAAGGGTGTCTTTGTTGGCATAATATTCCCACTGCTTGCTCATTGGTGGCCTTCTAAATTCCACCTACTCACGACTGGGAAGGAGGTAGGTAGTCATAGAATGCTCAAAGCTGCCAGGGTGCTGAACAGTTCAGGGATTGCTTGGTTTGTAGCTGGGTTCACTTGTTTTAATCCTTCAGTTGTCAGGGCAGTAACGTATGGCTGCCTGTATTTGTGGTTAAGTTTCTTTTCCATGCCAAGTTCATGTCTTCTTGCTGCCAGAGTTTTGGATGTGGTGGAAAAGAGCAGTTCTGTAAAGGAATCACTTAGACTCGATGCATATTCTGAATAGAAGTTCGTTTTCAAAGATGGATGAGAGTGCAACGGAGGGAGGGGTTTTCCTTTTGAATCAAGGGATCTTAGTGAAAGAGTTGTTGCTGATCCGATCCAGAGCTTTAGGCCAGAAAGGAAGGATAGATGGTAGAGTATGAAATGTTGGAAATGGTAACTGTTACTTACACAACTGTACAGTTTTATCTGAGGAGGGAAAGGGAGCAGCTTAACTAGCTCCCTCTGCCTAATGGCAGGCAGATCCGCTCATTGACCACTTCCTAGCTGAGGCCACTACACTCCCTGTCTTGTTTTTTGCAGTGACCCACAAAGCTGGCCTTTTGGGCTCAAAAGACACCTTAATGGTGTTTTGTTTTTGTTTTTAACATGCACAATGTCGCTGATTGCTCCCTTTGCTCTCCTCTCTGCAGGTGGTACCTGCCAGAGCCCTGCTCTCCCAGCCCTGGTCCGTCCACCAGCCCCTCCTCTGCAACCTTCGCTGGATATCAAACCCTTTCTTCCCTTTCCTCTGGACACAGCGGCAGCAGTCAACCTCTTCCCCAACTTTAACGCGGTAAGTCCCCGGGTCACATTTGCACGTGGCGGAGTGGTAAGCTCCAGGAGTACTCTGTTCTTGCTATTGTTGCTTTCCTTTTTTTGAAAGAAAGGATTATTTTAGTTTTTCAAATTAAGGCTCATATAAAATGTTTTGTTAGTTCTCAGAGGAGAGTCTGCTGCAGGGTCTTTTCAATACAACAGCTGAGGTCAGAGAGTTCCTTTTTTATAGCTGAGCCTTTGGGACTTGTTATGAACAATAAATTCATTTGGCCACAAAGTTGTAACCTTGGTGCAGAATAGAAAAGGAAGTTGACCCAATAGAAATAAGAGTAGTCCTGATGTGCTAGGGGTAAGCTGGTCGCTACCTCCATTTTGCTGTTATCATTTATTCCATGGATGGTCTGAAGGCTGCAAGGTATCTGGTTGTCTGGTTATGTAAGGTCCCCAGAGCCAGGCTCCTTCAAGGGAAAATGAAAAGAGATTTAATCCAACTGGGTTGGTCTTGAGTTTATGTCTCCCGTTTAGTGTCTTTCTGGGTAATATTAATGATTCCATTATTTTGTTGGAATATATCTACATTAAAACTTAATGAATTTATTAAAGAGAAAATTAGAATTCAAGTAAGTGTCTAAAAACTTAAACGAGTTTCTTCTATCTGGGTCCTACACTTTAATTTTCAAATCTGTTGCTCCTTTTCTAATTTAATAAAGAGGACACCAATAAGCACAATAGTGATGCATTCCATTTGCAGAGCACTTTTTTTCCCCCTTAACTTAAAGCAACTCAACATTCTGGTGGTAGGAGGGTTTCTTTTGTTTTACTTTTTTTTGTCTTGTTTTGTTTTCCCTTCTTACTGCATCACAGTTGTTCAGGTTAGGTCTTTCTTAAATTACTTTGTTTTTTGGGCTTTGTTAATGGCCTTCTCAACACAAGTTCAATTACTTACTTGCTTCTATTTTCACTCTTAGCATGTCTTTGTAAGTTGACAGATTTCTCATATTCATCATCATCTCTTTTTGTACAGGCAGTGAAAGTATTCTTATGATGAAAATAGAAATAAGGGTTGAAAAGGTTAGAAACCCGTGACTGTTTTTTTCCTAATATCATCTGATTCAAATTTCAGCAGTTTGTCATAATGGAAGTCTGAGCTTATCAATGACAGGATGTGTCAACACAACCAGAGCAAAGAGGATTAAGATGGTGGGTCACTGAATGCCCAGTGATCTAAATAATATAGATTTCTTATTGCAACATCTTGCTTCCATGATGGATTTTTTAAAAATCTTCCCACAGTTAGATCATTCTCTTTTAGGAGATGGAAGTGGGTCTCATTTTCTTTAATAATACTTCATCCTGGGGACTCTGGTCATTCCAGGGACATGGTCCAGTTATATGATAGTCCTCGCTAAAGGGCAAGGGAGAATCAGAATGATCACTTTGCTCTTTTAGGGGTGATGGGTTTTCCATGGGAATCTTATTTTGAAATTGATGGAGCATAAATGGAGGAGCGTCAAGATCACATTTTCAAAGTAAAGGTTTCTAATCCTCGGCATTTCATAAGTGTAGAGAAAAAATTGCTCAGCATCAAATTCTCCGATTTTTAAATGACCACACTAAAGTCCCATGGGTTCCCTTTCTCTGCTGTTCAGTTAAGTGGCTTCCTGGCACAGTCTTGCTTCCCAGACGCCCAGAGATGATCCATCAAGGTGCATTACCTGGCCTCTAAGACCACTTGGCATCCTGTCAGTTAGGTCTCATGTCAGCTTTAGAACAGTTGAGGTGAAATTCCTGGAAGGCTGTAAAAAGCTGAGTTTTAAAATTTCGGTTTGCCATTTGAGAAACATTAAAAGCAATATTAATTTGATTGACGAGTATTGTTTGTCATAAAAAACAAAGATGAGTGATTGGCTGAGCTATTTGACACTCAGCAAGTCTCTTTATCCTCTTTGCTACTATTTACCCTTCTTTGAAGTAAAGGGAGTGGACCTAATAATCTCTTCCTTTGGGGTTTATTTCATTCATATATTTGCACTTTTGTGGGCAAAGGCAGCATTGTGTGGTGGTCAAGCTGGATCCTGTAACTAGACTGACTGTGTTCAAATCTCAAAGTTGCTGCTTATCATCAATATGACCTTGGGCAAGTGACATAACTCCCATGTATCTCAGTATCTTCATCTGTAAAACGGGACTAATAATTAACCTACTTCTTAGGCATGTGGTAATGCTTATGTGTGCTAAATAATGTAAAACAGCACTCAACACATAGCAAGCACTATTTGAGTGATAGCCATTATGTTCATGCATAGGCTGTAAACTCTTCTTCTTCTTCTTCTTTTTTTTTTTAATGTGGCAGTTCATTGACTGATAGCAGAAGTTTGACTTGATTCTTTTTCCTCTATGATGAATTTTGACTTCTGTTTGTATTTGTTCCATTTAAATAAGGAGACCCTCTGTTCCTACACATAATTGTTATTTCCTTTCAGTGCTAGTCAAGCTGCGGCAACTGAGGATTAAGCCACTCCTTGTTTCTTACTGAGGGGGAATGGTGGCAAAGCCCATAATCAGGTGGCTTTGGACTCACAGTTAGAGTATAGAGCATTTCTTTAAGTAATAGCCTGACTTCTTGATTTTATAGCAGGTGTGAATCTCAATCCACGAATTCAGGGTGTATGAAACATAATTTTTTATTGCTGTAAATTGATTTTATTTCTGATTCAAGAGACCATTTTATGGTGAAGGGAAATGCAATTTAATTCTGTTTCAGGGTGTGCTGAGGTTGTAGAATCTAACAGGCTATCCAACCAACTCTTTATGGGAAACTCCTCTGTTCACTAAGTTATTTACCTACAAAAGCATTCATAGATGGTCAGCACCAGGTTAGCATGGCTATTTAAGTCCCCAGCTCCCAACTTTAGACACACAAACTTTGCAAGGCTGTTGGTGGTCCCTTCTGCCTAGATGTGCCAAACTGCTCTTATCTCATTGCCAAGAAAATGATAAACCATCTGCCACTGAACAACCTTCCCGCATCAGACCTTCCTAAAGCAAGTTCATGATAGTTGCAGACTGACTGCCTGTTATATCTCTCCACTGAGGCTTTGTGTATGGAATCATCTGTCTCTCGGGGGTAGGGTGGGGCAGAATGGTGAAAGGAAAAAAAACGAAATAAAATCATGGAAACATAAATGTATATCCTTGATTATTATCCTTCCACAAGAGCATAAGCCACTAGGTAAGTCAAGTAGAATAATGAAACATCTGTAAAAATATGCATAGTTGGAAAGGAAAACAGGTGGAGAATCTGAGCTTGGATATAGATATAAAAGAGGACATTTGATAAAACCATTAGGATCCCTCAGTCTACTCAAAGTTATTTTTTAAAGATTAGCAAAAGAAACTGTTCTTTTGACCTAAGGATGTTGTAACCTGGTTGTTTCGGTAGCTTTCAGACAAGAGAAAGCTTTCCTTGAATTCCTCGTGTACCCCCTACCCTACCCCTCAATCTTTTAAGACATTGGAGTTTCAGTGCTTAGGACCATTCTGATCCCATTCTGCATCAGCATTTCTTGAAAGGAACCAATCCTGGAAGTAGGTAGATGATGTTTAGGAAAGAAATATTAGGAAGTGGTATGAGTGTGGTCCATTCAGTCAATTGCTGTTAATTAAACATCACTATGTGGCAGGAATAGTGATAACAAAAATTATATTGTGATGTCTGCCCTGAAATAATTCAATTTATAAGGGAAGCAGAACAAACAAATATTTGTAAATATGGGTGGCTTTTATGAAGAAAGATGTATAGGATAGAATGGCAGGTTGGGGGCAAGAGTGGAAGGCTGTGTGGTTGGCTTAGTGGGGGTTTGGTGAGAAAAATAGAAACTATTCTAGGCATGTAAACAGGAAGGACTTAATATAAGGATTTAGGTGCTTACAAAGTCTTTGGAGGTGCTGGGCAGGCAAACAAAGGTCAGAGAAGGCTATTGTTGGCTCTCAATTTTTGTGCTTACTTTCATGGAATCAGGAAGTTGCAGAAATACAAGATGCTCAGTAATCCCAGTTACTTTCATCCAAATCCCATGAAATGCCTCTCTTTATGGGATCCATGCCTGAAGACTGCTGGCAGAGACCTGTGGGAATGTAACCCTAGGGCTTCCAGTCCTTGTGATGTAAGGAAGAGCACAGAAGAGGGAAGGCGGTGCTGAGTCACCAACAGACTTGACATGATGGCAGAATGGAAAGGTTTATGCATAATCAGAAAACCTGAGCATGTTTGCAACCATGGACAAGAGGCTAAATCCTTTGGAGCCTCAGTGTCCTGTTCTGTAAAATGAGAATGAATAAATTTCTCTTAGGTTTGTGATTGGAGGGATAGCTGACTTTTAAAATGCTGGAGATTGAAGCTGAGAATTAGCTTGGGTTACTTAGGGTATTGTTTAGAATGGGAGCTGATCGTCAAAAAATGCCTATACTCCTTGACAATTTTCTCCTTGGGTCTCAGAGTTGCCCCTTTGTTTTTCTTTTCTCTAACATATTTTCTTCATATCCTCATCAGTAGTTATGACAATAATGAACCTTCAAAATTTTGTTGAAAATGTGCAGCTTTGGGGGAATGTGTTCATGGGGACTGACTGTATACCTGATCGTATGCCCCGCCCCTTCCATGGCTATGTTTCCTGTTGGCATAAAGGTTAAATGAGTAAACTGACCTAATCACCTGCATATACCAGATTCTCACTAAATATTGAGGTCTTCCTCCTTCCAGGAGAAGCACAAAAAAGAACAAGGTCACATAGAGGGCCCAAAGGCAGAAAGATAAGCAAATAAAGAGAGTAACTATTTGCTTTCAGTTAGCCTAGGCTAATACCCCGCCTTTTTTTTAAGTTTATTTATTTTTAGTAATTGCTACACCCAACATATGGGGCTCAAAGTCATGACCCCCAAGATCAAGAGTTACATGCTCTTCTGACTGAGGCATCCAGGTCCCCCATATTCTTTAACATTCAAAAAAATAAATCA